TAGATTCGTTTTTTAACTTATTTTATTCACTTCATATTAATTTTTTTGACCATTTATATAAATAATATCATTGAGGCAATGTGTTGCATAAAAGCTTTTGCTCATTGTGAAAATATTTACATGGTGCTTTTAAAAATGGAGAGTGGGGAGGGTTGTTGTTTCTTTTCTATCTGTTGTTGTTTTAAATCTACTACCATGGAAGTGACCAAGTGAGTGAGCATTCTGGTCATCAGTGACTAGCATAGAGAGGTATTTGCCAACAATAACAATGCAGCACCTCCTTGCAGGGTCTCAGGATAGAAAAAGAGTAATAGGTTTGACCAGTGGGGTGTTAGTTGAAGTTCCAGGCTATTGATTCAACTAAAAGATTTTTCACTGTTGAATGGTAACTTGTGGAATAGTTCCTGTTAGGGCAGAGAGGTTAATTTTCCTTCTTATAAATACCAATCATATTATGAATGAAGACTAAACTATTCTGAACTTATATCTTACAAACCTAAAATAGAAGGTGCTAAGGAATATGGGGGTGCTTGGTGGGAGGATTCAGGGACAGAACACTGGGGAAGTATATTCATTTGTTGGTCTGTCCATCCATCCATCCATCCATCCATTCATCCATCCGTTCATCCATCTCCTCAACCATCCCACTTCTGTTGAACGCCTTTTGTCTGGCCCTGTCCTAGGCCTCTAGGATACAGCAGGGAGCAAAATAGACCGGTCCTCTGACAAATTTGCTGATTTAGAAAAAGAGATTAAGAAAACTGTCCGCTTGATGAACAATATGTTTGTCATTTTAAAGAATAGGAATGATTTAGGAGCATGAGTTTAACATTTATGCCCAGATTGGCATGCTACTGAACCAAATAGTAATTTAAAAGGTGATAACAGAATCCATTTTGGTAAATAATATTATGCTGAACCTTGGGGTTGAGTTGTTTTTAAATGAACGTATTAAAACCTCTGAATACTCAAATTTAGTTGTTTTAAGGAAAGGCACTTTTGTGTTTCCTTGAAACCAGAAAGAAAATAATCAAGAATTACCCACACATTTATATTTAGTTAACAACTGTAAGATCTGATTTTTAACCCAAAACTGTTTTCCCTGGTAGCATTCAACAAATGATAGTGCAAAAACCTTAGTGTAATGGCAGACATTATCATGTGAGCTTTGTGGACATGTTCTTCGTAGACTAAGTTGCAAAGGGTATTTGCTGCCTGTTGTTTAGGACTCCCCCGGGAAACATGTTCTGCACCTACAGATAAGCCTTGACTGACTTCATCCTGTGCTATGCTCACTGTTTCCTGAAGCTGGCTTTTCATTTAAGTCCAGATTGGCTTCCTTATCTCAGATAGCAAAGTGGACTTTAAATTGTAACAGGAATTTAGTCTGTCTTTCTGCACATTTCAGTTAGTATGAGCTCTATATAATTTTAAAATTATGTAATTCAAAAAATGGGTGCATTGAAATGTCCTGATTTTGGCCATTTACCTTTGTGTTGTCTCCTTTCAAGTTGCTCTTCTTTTTGTACCCTTTCTCTCCATCCACTTCTAATTTTACCAAAACTCTCTTTGTGGCACTCCCTTCCACCTATTATGGCAACCCCACTTGGTGGCACTTAGAAGTAGAAATGATGCTGACTCCTAGTCTGTGACACAAAAACAGGGTCTGGGATCTCAGCAGTGTCTTTCCAGGGTGACTTTTGCTATTCTTAACCTCTCTGTGACCATGGGAAGAGTACATGCTGCCAGGTGACAGTCACTGAGGACAGCATATCTTTGTTTGGGAACGGCAGTTAGGTCCTTTGCATTAATGAAGAAAGCATCAGGGGTTGAATCTTATCTGCTGTGCAATCTAGAATCCCTGGTATAGCACAGAAGCCATTTATTTTTAATTTTTTAAGAACATTTCTTATAGTTACTCTGTTTTTATAAATAGCTCTTCAGGGCATGGAACACAGCCTGTTTTTTTGATCTGAGGAACTTTTATGGTTGGGTTATTCCTGCTTTCTTGAACGTTACATGATATATTAATCTAGGTTTAGTATTTATGCATGTTTCTTGAGTCCTTTATTTATTGGGTGTGTTTTTTTAGAAATGAAATTTAAAATAATACCTAAATGGCCACCATAATGGCCATAAATACAGTTTTTTGTGTGTGGTTAGTTTTATATTTCTGCCCTTTTTTCTATTTTCTTTTGTGTTTTATTAATAGAAATATTAATTGGCAATTTTAATAAAATTAGCATATTTTTCTGTGATATATTAAACAGAAATATAGTCAAGCTAGTTATAATTTGTATTTTGGCCTATGTTTGGTCATGGACAAGCATTACAATAAAAGTGCAACACCTTCCCACACCAATTTATCATTGATTTGTGCGCCTTTCCTCTTCTAGGAAGACTGAGTTTTACTTCATTTAAGGGGAAACTGAGGGACTGATAGGCTCTGAGAAATGAAACATAAGGTCTTACGGGAGTGAGTCTGTGGTTCATAGTGGAACATAAGAAATTGAGATTTTCATTAGGTTATGATTTCTTCACCCCTTTTGCAAATCAATTTGATACTCCTCCTGTGGGGTGTCTTGGAATATGACAGCTCTTACTTCTGTCATCTATTTCATCATGGGTGTCAGTAAGTAGGTGTGATTCAGAAAGTAGATGTGATTCAGTAATTGTTAAGAATGCTTTGGAATAATGACTCAAGTTGTAAGTCCTCTATTGGGATGTTAGCACTGTGATTAGTACATTCTTCTTATCTGAGCAACAGAAAGGAAAATCCTACTTTCGATTACCTGTAGATTGGGAACTACGGTGCTAGCATAGTCCTTCCTAGTATTCCTGTTATCATGTGATCTGTCTTTCCCTTTGACTGGGTCTCAGAGCACTTTATGCTGCTTATGAACCTTTTTATAGTCCACCTTGTTTGATAGGTTTCTTGTTTTATAAATTTGTCTCTCTGAGGGTTGTAGTGGAGCCTCAGTCTTTGCATTTCCCCCAGCACCATCTATGCTCACCTCAGATAGAATTAGGATGGAATCAGTTTTCATAGACAAATTCAGTGAATTCCAGTGACTGGCAGTGAATTGCCCACACAAGAGTGCATCCATTCAAGAGTTTTGAAGGAACCTGAGGATGAAATTGCAGAACTCTTGGCTCAGATATTTTGCCATTTATAAATAGCCACTGTTTTCAAAGCTTGGTGGTTGCCAGCACAAAGCATGGTACACTGGAAAGGAAAATGCCCTGGTGCTCTGGAGGCCCAAGCTCTGTGTCGAGTCCATCCATAACTGGCTGGGCAGGACCTGGGTCTTCCTAGGTCATCAGGGTCCTCAACAGGATGTGCTTCTAAAATCTGTGGTGATTGTCAATGTCATTGTTAAATCCTGATAAACTGGGTTCTTTGTGCATACATAAGTATTCTATGGACAGGATAGATTTACGTAAAATAATCAAATTCACGCCATTAATGTACTCATTGTTTGCTTCTGTGACTGATGTGTTGTAGAGACTGAATTCTGTTATATTCTTCCCAAAAGTGTTGATTTTGTTTGCTTGCTTGCTTTTGCAGGCAACTAATTTCACTGGGACCCCAGACTATAGACTCTTTCTCCTCTGCAGTGGGAGCAACGTGAATCTTGGTTCAGATCTTTAATCTTTAGCAGGGCTGCTTGGAACCCACCTGGTTGTTATTTTAACAGCTCCATGTTTCTTTGCTGGGCCCTGCCCTCAAGCTCACAGCCCTGATGAAGGAAAGTGTATGCAATGTCATTTCCCTTTTCCAAGTGTATCTTCCAGCTTTTGGTCACTCTTTAGTGCCTTGAGTGAGTCATTCTTTTATAAATATTATCTGTGGCAGGAGTGGTCCAGTAGGAGCTACTCAGGCACATGAGAAGTGAAACATACATTCATTTACTCTTAATACTTTTCTTGCTTTCTAATTCCAAGTTTGCATCTTGTGTTAGAGGTATTACCAAGTTAACATTTTAGATGTGTTTCTTGTCCTATTTTGGCAAAAACAGAAAAATGGGGATAGGGAAACAGTCTTTTATTTCTTCTAGAGGTTATTCTGCTAAAAATGATAGTTACCACTAGTTTTGATACACATCCCTGACCCTAGATTACTTCTATTAAAGACCTCCGAGATAAATATTTTGAGTTATCAGTATGGACATTTTGAACCCCAAATTCCCATGTAGACGTTCGCTCTGGGGAGCTAGCCTGGACATGATTGCGATGCAACAATTCCCTTTACTGAGACAGATTTTGGTTTGGCCTAAATTGCCTGTTGCATGCTTCTTTTCTACAATATTTGCGCTTGGCCTTCTAAGGTACTGGAGGCGGTGGGGGAGAGTTGTTTTTTAGGGAGAAGAGGAACCTTGGCCACCTCTGAAGCTGGAGCGGCACTGGGCCATCTGACCACATTAACCATTGACATTTCTCCAGGGGGCATGACCCAGAAAGCCTAGAAGGAGAGCGCCAAGAGCACACGGCCAGTCCCTGGCTATTTATAATTCCTTCTCCCCTCCCTGCTGCTGTGTATTTTTAACCAGACTCTGAAGTGTGATAGAAGGAGGCGTTGAGCTCCCCCTAGAGGTTTTAGTATGCCACAAAGAGCAGTTTTTGAAAAGCAGTGTTGCTATGTTCTTTGCCCTGGTCTAAATTAACCAACAGGACTTCACGAAGATTTGGTAAATGATCTGGACTGATTTCATATCCTTTCTCTTTGGGACCAGATCTTTATTGCTGGAAATGACTGAAAGCCTTTTGGGGACACCAACCTGTGGGGTCTGTGTGCAAATGGTTATTCACCATTAAAGTTGAAGATGGGTATAGGTATATGTTGTTCATGGAATAAAAATGTTGTCATATGATGTTTCTTAAGTTGATATAATGGGTGCAGAGAAAGCTGCTGTGTGAACATTGGATGAAATGGTTATGGTGTCAACTGCCTGTTACTCAAGCGATCCAATGATTTTATTTTCTTCTTGTATATTTCAGGGTTTCGAAAAAATGATGAAATGAAAGCTATGGATGTTTTGCCAGTTTTAAAGGAAAAAGTTGCGTACCTTTCAGGTAAAGTCTAACTTTCTACTCTGCCTCATCTGACTGCTCTGACACAATGTCAGAGTATGACACACTAAATGAGCTCATCTGTCACAACACATAAACACTGCCGTTTCTGTGGACTTAGCTGCTTTATTCTTGTGGCAATTTTCCTTAGAAATTAGTGCCCAAAGCATTTTCTCCCAACTGGGAGGCAAAATCATAAGTCGGGTAGCATTGGTGACCAAACTATGTCTGTCATTCAACAATTTGGCTGTTTTGCCCTGATCAGCTAAGTAAAACAACTGATTTTTAAGAGTCAGTCATTTCAACTGAAGTAGTTGGAATGTGTTGGTATGTGGATGTATCCTGAATTTTTTTATTCTGTAGCTACCTGTTGTCTTCTTTTTGGGGAGGCAAGGAAGCCCACTTCTCCTTGAGATCGCTCCTTCAGAGTTCTCTGGTCCTGGGATTACTAGAACCCATGTCATGGACCACAAAGTCCTGGTGATCTATACCAATCCAGTCCTCCACTGTCCTATAGCACCTGGTCCTTGGGGCCCTGGCATTCCTGCAGTATGGTGATTGACTCTGGGCCAGTTCTCTGGGCTTTGAGAAACCTAATTGCCCTCTCTGTGCATACATGGTCAGGTTTAGGTCTTCTTTGGCCAATATGACTACCTATGAATATTTTTGTTGTTGCTTTGGTCCTAAAGGCATATGCCACTTAGGGATTTGCAGTCTTATTACTGTATTTTAAAGTCACATGAAATAGTTCCTATCCATGTTGTCAGCATGAAGTTCAGGATCATTTGTTTAATTTTGCTTTACATTTGTAGGGCTTAGTCACCCTAATTTGCTTCAATTTTGATTAAAACGTATGCATAATTCTAGTATAATAACTTTTTTAAAAGTTAGAATGTAAAGTATGGTTAAAAAAAATCCACAAATCCTTCTCCTCCCTTATAGGAAACTCCATCCCTTTTTTCTCCCAAGGTTTTGGGTTATTCCTTATACTTTCAAAATATGAACAACTGTATTGATCTGTCTCTTTATTTTCTCCTCCTCTGGTAGTATGCACCATTTTCTCTACTTGTTTCATTTCAAAGAATATTCTGGAGACCAGTATATAGCAGCTCATTTCTTTTTACAGTTGTGTATTTCTCTGTTGTGTGTGCATACACACCGTAGTTAATTCAGTCAGATGCCTATTGATAGACATATGGGTCATTTTTTAAGAATAGCTTTTTGGGGGTTGGGGCGAACATTCACACTTTGTAGAGGTATCGGCAAGAATGTGGGATTTGGTGCCTTGAGGTTTGCCAGTGATGCATAGACCTTTGTTCTCCATGTTTCAGTTTTGCACAGTATTGCATTTTCTGAAGGGAAAGGGGCACCTCCCATTCATCTTGTGTGTTCTTATTATCATACAGCACAGTGGGACATGGCAAGGACTGACAGAGAAGGCAGGGACTGCAAGGGCCTTCCAAGCAGGCTGTTAAGAATCCTCTTAGAGTCTTCAGTAGACTTTTCCATGAACCAATTTCTGGTTCTCAGGAATAGGCAGCAAGAGGAGAGTGTAAAAGGTGCAGGGCTGGCAAGGCTTTGCCTTGGCTGCTGTTAGAGCAGGGGTCCAGTGGGCATCCTTTTAACAGAGTTCTATGATTTAATAGCACATTTAATAGACATTAGCCATAATTTCTCTTTACAAACGATGTCTTTCAGGACTTTCCTTTGTAAAAGGCAGCTTTTCATGGTCAGTGTGAGTTAGACTGTTCCTCAGGGGGAGTATAAAGAATAGTTTTCAATGGTGTTCTAATTCAGAAATTGAAGCCAGGACCGTGGAGAGAAAAATACAGTTGGTTCATTGAAATTCACGTTTCACTCCTTGAAGCAAGTATGCCTTCCTTGCAAGTGCATTCTAAATGGGTGGAAGGTGAGCTCCTAATTCATTTAAAGAGAAAAAGGTGACTGTGAATGTAGCTGCTTCTGTGGTCATTGCTCAAGAGACCAAGTCCCCTGGCATTTAAAGAAGTGGGAAATGAGATTGCTGGGGTTAAGGAAATAAGTGTCACACAGATATTTAGAGCTGTAGTGAGGACTTTTTCAGCCTTCTGTTATTACAGTGTAAACCTCAGTTCACGTAGCATCCATGTTTTCCTAGGAATAGTCATCAGGCATTTTCATTTCTAACTTAACTGATACCTGATAGTAGGTATTTTTGGTTAACGTTGTGTGGAATATGGAAGAAGAATCCATTCAGCAGATATTTCTTGAGTTCCAGTGTCATACTGGGCATCAGGAGCTTTGCATATTCTGACATCAGTGAATGAGACAAAGATGCCTGCCCTCTTGGAGCTTATGTTCTAGTGGAGGAGGCAGACAGACAAAAAGAATATGCAAGTTATATCATTTCCTAGGAGGTAAGAAGTGTCTTGGAGAAAAAGATGGGGTATATGAGAGGAAAAAGATGGGATATATGAGGTGGGGTATATGAGAGGAAGGATTGAGGGGATGCAGGTTTTTATGAAATGAAAATAAAGCACTATCAACAAAAAAAGTTTTTTTTTTCCTTTCTCACTAAGACAGCATTTGGATAAAGAGAAAATCCTGAATGAGCTTTTGTTCTTTGGTGACGGACACGGAGAGGCCCCATATATAGAAATCCTGTTACAGTGGCAGGTGCAGGAACTGCATTTCCTGTCTTTTTCTTTTCATTGTAGAAACTAAGGCACTGTTTTATAGATGGAACTGACATCTGTCCTGCCTGCCTCACCATGAGGCAGAGGGTTGGCATCAGATACATACAAGTGTACCTCGTAGATTATGTTTTTATGAGCTGCACTACTGTTGTTTTTACTTGGTCAGGAACAGAAACAAGAAGAACTTTGAACTTGTGACCCAGAAACTGTCTTCATTTGGGTGCCTTCTGTGATGTTGCCAACCAATATAAATCTTGAGGAATATAATTTAGACAGACATGTGTAGTGTTGATTTTTACCTCCTTGAGATTTAGCAACCATGTTCCTCTGAACTAATGTTACATGTCATCCTTTTAAAATTTTTCTTTGTACCTCCTTGGTGAGGGGTCAGCAGAGGATGATGATTGGCACATCATCTGCTGGAAGGTGTACCTGTTGCAGAGAGGTTGGCGTGTGAAAAAATAATCTTTAACTCTTTAAATAGAAAATATGCCATTTTCACTTCATAAATGATTTTTGTATGAAGTTGTAAAATTATCCTAGTGAATTTTTTGAAGTTCTTTTCTAGGAAAAGTAACAGCAAAAATTTTTCCCTTTAACTTAAAATTCAGATTCAAGTTTACATAAGCTTTTTTTAGGATGTGAATGAAAGCCAAGTGGATGAACTTGCTAGCAAATCTTAGGGTACTCGTTGCTAGTGCTACCAACCTGGGGATGATTTTTGTAGTTGAAGTTGAAAAAGTGCAGTAGAGTCAATCAGAACTTCTGTACACGACTGGAGTGAACAGAATGGCCATGTGCAGTGTTCATACGCACGTACTTCCTATGCAACTCTCTTTGATTGGCAGGTTTTGGATTCTACTTCTCACACCCATGGTTGAGCATGCCTTGCTTGCATCGTGAGATAGTGACCCAAGAGGGAGGAGAGTGTAACATGGGTCATTGCCATTTATTGTCCATGTTGAACAAAACATAATATTGCATTTTGAAAACATTAGAACAGACAAAAAATGTTAGATGCTAGCTCTCTCTTTACCAAAAGTGAAGGGGAATGTTTTAATTCAAATGTCATATACTGTATTTTTGAAAACTCAAGTTTCTATAATGTGTTGATCTGTGACATTTTTGATTAAGGAGATTGAGTGTTTTTTGAAAATAAGGAAAGATGTTGAAAAATGAAGAACATTGAAACTGTTATCTGTCTTATCTTGGTGATAAGAGATATTTTAAAAATTAGCTATTGATATTATCCTAAAAATAATACCTGATGTTTTAGAGGATCACTTGGTGATGATCAGTACTGCTTCTCACGCTTGACAGTACTGTTTGTTCATAAATGTTAATCCCCAAAAGACCCAGGAACCCAATATTTAGTTATCCTTCTGACATTTTTACTACTTTAAAAAAAGAACGAAAGCTACTAGTTTGAAAGATTATATAAGTTCTTGTGAGGGCAGAGGACCTTGCTGTGACAATGCTGCAGGGTTCCTTTGTCTTTTGTAGCTTCACTGTCTTTATTTATAAAGCTGAATGGTAAAAACCTGTTAGCAGGGTCATTGTGAAAGTGTATGTAGAGCACAATATTTTCAGATATGCCGGTAGCTGTGATGTAGTGTTCCAATTTGATACCGGAATTATTGGCCTTTCCATTTCTTTCTTTCTTTCTTTCTTTCTTTCTTTCTTTCTTTCTTTCTTTCTTTCTTTCTTTCTTTCTTTCTTTCTCTTTCTTTCTCTTTCTTTCTTTCTTTCTCTTTCTTTCTTTCTTTCTTTCTTTTTCTTTCTTTCTTTTTTTTTTTTTTTTTTTTTTTTGAGTCAGGGTCTCACTCTGTCACCCAGGCTGGAGTGCAGTGGCACAATTACGGCTTACTGTATCCTCTACCTCCTGGGCTCAAGCTATTCTCCTTCCTCAGCCTCCCAAGTAGCTAGGAATACAGGCATACACCACCATGTTTAGCTGATTTGTTGTTGTTTTGTTTCTTGTTTTTTTGTAGAGAACGAGGTCTTGCTATGTTGCCCAGGCTGGTCTTGAACTCCTGGGCTCAAGCTGTCCTCCAGCCTCGGCCTTCCAAAGTGTTGGGATTACAGGTATGAGCCACCACTCCTGGCCTTATAAATAGTTTAAGACTTTCAGATTACATGACTGAACAGTACATGTGGATTGTTTTAAGTATTCACAATCAAAATTAAGTTCCATTACTATTTAGAATGAATGTGCAATTATTCTAGGAACTTGTAAAAACCATATTGGTAAATAGGTTTTAAAAATATTATCTTCTGCATATTTTTTGACTTTTCTAAAAGGAAAGAATCTTTTATTGTTTGTTTGCTTGCTTTTTAATTTTACTCTTGCTGATGATTTTTGGTGCACTGAAAATAAAGAAGAGTTTCATATTGTGACTTGAATTTTGAACCTCTCCTGAAGAGATAGGGTCAGAGTTGTAAAACTGAATGATGGATCCACATGAGAAGGCTAAATTTTCTTTCTCTGTTTTCCTGACAACCCTGATGGAAGTAATAAAATAAATGTGACAATTTTACCAGAAATGTTCAGTGATACCAAGCTGACTTCATTAGGATTTTATATGATGATGAGAAATCTTTCTGCCTGCCCGTCTGTCAAAGTTAAATACTCAGAGATTTGTACTCCAAGTATGTGATATAATTTTTCTAAAATCCTTATGTTAACTAACTAAATTAACTTTAAAATTGCTTTAAAATTGTGTGTGTGTGTGTGTGTGTGTGTGTGTGTGTGTGTGTGTGTGTGTGAGTCTCACTCTGAGCAGCTATGAGCAGCCTCAACCTGCTGTGCTCAGGTGATCCTTCCGCCTCATCCTTCCAAGTAGCTGGAACTACAGGCATGTGCCACCATGCCTGGCTAATTTTTTTTATTTATTGTAGAGACAAGGTCTCACCAAGTTGCTCAGGTTGGTCTCGAACCCCTGGGCTCAGGCAATCCTCTCACCTTGGCCGCCCAAAGTGCTGGGATTGCAGGCGTGAGCCCCAGTGCCTGGCCGCTTTAAAGTTCTTACATGCAGTTATGCTATATCTCTTGTGTTTGTGTGTGGCTTCATATAAGAGATTGGCAAAGCTTGACCACTGGGAGACACATGCCATTGATCCTAGATTATAAAGTAGTTATCAGTGTAATTTGAAGAACATTTCTTTCTTTCTTCTTTCAAGACTTAGGACCCAACTTGGAGGGGAGTTGGGGAGGGAGAGGAAAGGAGGTATGAGGGAGGTAGTTTTTAAGGGTAAATGAAACACATACACATGAAAATTTTTTTCTGTATAGACATAAAACTGAAAGAAAGAGGTTTCTTTTAACACATTGAAAGAAGACGACAAGGCCATATGCAGTATCTTCCATATGACCAGCAAAACCCAAGCGTTTACTTCCAAGTTCCATGAGAGGATTAAATAGCCTCACTGCATTCCAGATGGAACAAGTACTCTTGCCTCATGCACATTCGTGTAGTGGATTTAGGAATAGTTTGAACTGAGTGAATGGTAGATGACATGGACTTCTGTCTTATCTTGTTTTTGTCTAAGTGTGTTCCCAATGTTTGCTTTTTAGGTGGTAGAGATAAACGTGGAGGTCCCATTTTAACTTTTCCAGCCCGCAGCAACCATGACAGAATACGACAGGAGGATCTCAGGAGACTCATTTCATATCTAGCCTGTATTCCCAGGTAAGTACTGTGTGGCTTGTGGCTTGCCACTTTTTCACAACTCCAGAAGATGTGGAACTATACTGTTTAGAAAACAGCTAAACAGCTTTCTGAATTCCAAGCCACAAAGTAGTATAAAATTAAAATCATGTTTTTTCTCCTTATTTCCATTTTGTGACTATTATTATCTAGTATAAAAGACTTCAGGTGCAGAGAGAAGAAGGTGAATGTTTTGTAGTTCAGAGTTTTGTGTGTTGACAGTGGATTTGGGATACTCAGCTGGGAGTTTTAGGATGTGGTACCCTAGTTAGAAATAAAGTCATTGATAACTAATACTGAGGCACAGTGGGCTGTGTGATCAGAAATTGGGTGCTGTTTTTGATAATATATTTCTGTCTTCGTGCTGAACTTCATTTCCTTAAAAACAGTCTGTTGATTGGTAGTATGAAGTTTGTGGGGCATTAAAAATCTTTATTAGCCAATATACCGGGCATCAATTTGGGAATCCTCTATTAGTGATAGGGAGACTTTTAGCATGGATGCTGAAGAATACCAAGAACAAGCAATGTTTTATTTTTTTGGAGAACCCTAAAGTGGGGAGTAGTGAGTTAATAGGAGTTGGCCCTGTGTGTATAATTGAGGAATTTAGAATCTTTGTTTCTGCTCTGGGAATGCATTACTTAGATTTTATTTGTGGAGCTTGCTAATAACTGGTGGAGGAAATTTTCTCCCTACATTAGTATCTCCATTTAATTTTTCCAATTATTTTTGGAAATAGAATACCGCTCTGATATACTCCAAGGGTATAGTCACGCCTGGAGTAAGGGATGGGTGTGTATTGTGGTTTAGAAGAGTGCTTCCCCATGAGGAAAGGGTATATCTCTGGTGTCTCCTTCATTCCAGAAAGGCACATGCTGAAGAGGCATCAGTGTCTTCCCCGGTAGAGTGAGAGGAGGCATTTCCTAAAAGATGAAATTAGGGTATGTAAGAGAAAACTTGATCATGATATGGGCTAGAGTAGATGGTAACTTTAGGGCACTTGTTATGTAAAAGAATATTAGAAGATGGTCAGTAACAGTGTAATGGGCTTCAAAAACTTGAGGTATATGCAGTAGATCTAACACAGCATATGGTTCCTGACACTTTTAGCCTGTTCAGGTTGACACTAGCCAGGGAAGACAGTGTACATTTTTGTAACAGATCCTTGCTGAGGCTGGTGAAAGTCAGCTTTCGGTCTTGTTGATTTGCTTTGCTGGGGGAAGTTCTTGTGTTTTTCTGTTAGGATATCTTTTATGGGAGAACTGTCACTGTTTGTCATTAATGACTAATAGAGCCTTACTTACCCATGTGGAAAAAGTTTTCCCTTTCTTCTTATTCTAGTATTGTCTTAGACAGATGAACTATTGAAATCTGACCTGCAAAGGTATTTAGGAGGTATTTACTACTCATTATTATTTATACATAACAGTGTAACTTACAGCTTCTACTTACAGAGTTCTTACTATCTGTGCTAATGATGGAAAAAGAAATAGACAAAGGACAGAATAAAAAAAATCCTTGCCAATCAAAATGATACTTGTCATATAGTTTAATAAAAACTAAAGTTGAATTTGGTATTTGTTTTAATTTTTAAAAATTTATACAACTGGAATACTACATGTAACTTTGAAAACTTACTTTCTGGTTTTGAAATCTATGTTAATAGTAAATATTTAAAAATTACTTTTTATTTTATTGATATAAAAATTGATTCAGGTACATTTTGAGTAATCTGGATGACATACTTGAAAATAAATAAACCTTCTTTGTGGCAAATCGTGAGAATACACTAAAGTAGAGAGACCAGTACAATGAACACACATATACTTAACACTCAGTTTCAACATTTATCAAATTTTGTCAGTCTTGTTTTTCTCATTTTTCCCTGGAGTATTTATAACATATCTCAAACATATTATTCCACTCATAAATACTTAAGTTTGTAGAATGACTCTCCACCTGTGGAACACAGTCACTTCATTTCATTGCCTCGACTTGGTTTTGTATTGACACTCCCAAGTGACAAGAGGTGCCGTTTTGCCATGAGAAAATAGGAGAGGTGGAATTAACATATCAGTGATGTGTCTGCCAAGTGATAATGGAGAAAGATTTTGAAGTAGACCAGAAAGAGAGACGTGGTAACCAAATGAGGCCTCTCTGGGCCTCCTGGGTCCTGCAGGCCCTGCCTGTGAGTGCCTACAGCAGCAAGCTGCTTGGTTTTAACCAAACAATAGCTTCAACAAAAAGCATCAGTAAGTTAATGGTGTGTGAATTGTTTGGACTTGTGGGTTTGCTTGTATATAATTTGTAAGTCTGATGATTTGTTGGTATTTCTGCCCAGCTATATGTTTGTGTATGTCCTAGGAGTCTGTGAGACCCTTTGCTCTGTCCATTACTCCTGGCATTCTTCTGAGATTTGAAGGCAGCTCCCTGGCTGTCCCTCAGCTGGACAGGCTCAGGGCTATTGTCCCATGTGAAGCGAAAACAGGGGCCTCAGAATTAGACTGGCTGTGACCTGGCATGATGACTTAATTACTTTGATAGGTTTTCTGACTTAGAAAATGTGATAATATTCTGTGCATCTTGGGGTCATTATGAGTATTGAGTAAAATTATTTATGTACATCTAGCATAGTGCTTGACATGCAGTGGCTGACTCAGAAATAGTCCAGTAATTTCCTTCTTTCATATTTTCCTCCAGTGATTTTCAATATGTTTTCTGGAGGCAGATCATATGTTTGTTTTCTTCTGCATGCCCTGTCGATTGTCTATGTCCCTCACAACTGAACATAAACATGACCTGAGCAGCTGTGAGTAGTTTGACTATTATTACTTGGGTCATCTTTCCACCCCCTTCAAAAAAATCCCAAATAATTGTAGTAATAAGGTGAGTTCATAAGATTAATTTGCAATGAAGCTTTCTATTAAATGTGTGTAGGAGAAACAGGAGAAGGTCTTGCTGATGTCATTGGAAGTCCTGCATAGTGATAACAACATTAATCTTGGAATGTCTCTAGGTGGTTATTTCTTGAATTATATTTTACACTAATTGTGTTCTAGAACATCTGTCTTCTTTAGAATGGTGTGTAGCAACTAAATGCATATGCTCCTCTTACTCTCTGTTGTCCAATAATGAAATAATAGGAAGATTTTTAGTTGATTCATTCATGAACATTCATATAAAAATATACTTCCTTCATCTTGGAACTAAAGAAAGTAGAATTTGTTTTTTTTAGAGAGATCTGTCTTGAGAGGGGATTTCAATTTTATATAAATTTTCTTTTTCTGTCAGATAACATGGGGCTTTTTGGTAAAACTGCTAAAATAGCTGGTTAATAAGTCATGTTTTCCAAAGAGCAGTGTTTTCTGGGTAGAAGCAGGGCTTGGAGCCCTTCCGTAGGCAGCTGTTCACTGGATGCTCATAAGTAGGAGCCAGGGCTGAGAATGTTTGCATATCACTCCTCTCTTAATGCTGACTGACTTTTAACCTGATAAAAACCAAATTGATTGAAAGACTGTGCACTCCAGCCCCATTCATATGCTGTTTTCATTACTTGGGAAGCCACTGGGTGGTAACAGCTTGATCATGGAGGAAGGTGAATAGTTAATCCTTCTGTAAACTGTGCTAACTCAGCGCACCTTTCGGTTTTGTTATTCTCTGACTTGTTCCTGTTGGTAAGCCTGGAGTTAGTTATTCAGGATTCCTTTTAAGCTTCTTTCAAGTGGAGGGGCTTTGTAGTTTATGTGCATACTGTGTAGACCATGTTAGGAGAAAGGCAGGCTGCAAGGGAATTTATCTGAGTATGGTGAAGACTGATGCTAGAAGTGCATTCTACCAAACAGCAACTAGTAAAACAAATAAAACATACTGCTGCGGTTGCACAGTCTCCTGTCTTTGTTGTGTAGCAGCAGGCTGTGTGAATCTGGAGTCAAATGCCTCCACGGGGCAACAGGCTTCTTGTGTAAGAACTTGGCCTCTAGGGACTTCTCCTGCTTGGGTTGCACTTGCCTGGCGCCTCTGGAGCCCTGGTGTTTCTATGGAATGGGATCTTACAGGATTGTAAACCCCATTAGAGGCTAAGGATGCCTCATTTCTGTGACCTAGAAGACTGTAGGAGACCTCTCTGGGAGTCCCACTTGCCTCTAGTTTGGTGAAGGAGGCCAGAAAACATGATGTTTCTGCCTGTGATGTCATCTGAATTGTAGCCCAGGACCTACTTGAGACGGGGTGAAGAAGCAAGAGGAGTATTTGAACTCATTTCAGTTCATATCCATATGGGGGATGTTATCAGAACTTAAATGCATCATTCCTAGGCAATTTTCAACGTTTGAGTGATAAGCTAGGCTGCTGCTTCTTGGTGTTAAGCACCATGCTGCTGTGAATGTGAGCCACCCTCTGGTTAGGTGCTACTGCTGGTTCTACCGCCAGATGTTCTGGAGTATTTTGGTACTACACTCTTTATAATGACAGTAGATGTCATATGCACTTGGTATCTGTCAAATTGGAATGCTAGTAACTCTGGTGATGCAATCAAGATAAGGAAGAGAATGGGTTGTATGTGTGTTGAGTGAGTGTGTGTAGGGGAGGGAAGGGAGAGTAGAAGAGCAGCCTTGTGCAAGAGAGAGCTTGACATGGGTTTTAATTTTGAATTACTTTTTATATTTTGCTTTTTAACATTATAGATCGCCATTTATTTTCTGACTTTTCTAGTTTTTTAGGGTGATCACCCAAAGTAGAAAAAAAGTCAAATCTCATTCTTAAGTATTTGCACGTTTGGAGAGAATGTCACATTTTCATTGGGTGTGTGTAGGATCCTAGGTATATTTCCAAAGACCTTGCAAGCAGTCATTACCCAGCTACTGCCTGGTGCTGACATCGCTAACATCCACACAGACTGTTAGAGTCCGTGGTCTAAACAGTGAGGACTGCAGTTGTTCCTTGACTGTAGGGCCATTTGGAAGTCAGAAGCCAGCATGGAAGCTTTCATCTGTATCACTGAAGTTATGACCAAGTGAGACCAGGTATTTTTTTAAACTTATGTTTAAGGACATCTTAACTCTTGTTGTTCATTCTTTATTGCAAACTTGTATTATATGTGTTTCCCAAGTAGTCAGGGGTTGAGATTTAATAAAATTAGAAGCTGGCTCTTTTTTTTTCACTGTAAGAATTTGGAGAGGAAGAATACGATGACTCCTAGCACTGCCTTGGTTTGTGTCAAAGGCCAGCAGTGTTATCCACCATTGTTTATGTACCATCAGTGCAACCAAGTGAAATGGCAAATACAGACTTAGTACTATTGTGAAACTATATTAACCCCACAGAATGCACCAGGAGAGCACCAAGAACTCCAGGGATAGGTGGATTGAACTTGGAGAACTGCTGAGATCCCTTAAGGACCAGGGAGAGGGTAAAGAGAACAAATGGATATTAGAAAGTTCTTACCCGACCAAGCGAAGTAGCTCCTGCCTATAATTCCCGCACTTTGGGAGGCAGAGGTGAGAGGATTGCCTGAGCCCACAGGTTCGAAACCAGCCTGGGCAACTTGGTGAGACTTCATCTCTACAATAAATCAAAAAGTTAGCCAGGCATGGTGGCATGTGTCTGTAGTTTCAGCTACTTGGAAGGCTGAGGCGGAATGATCACCTGAGCCCAGCAGGTCGAGGCTGCGGTGGCTGTGAGCGTGCCACTGCACTCCAGCCTGGGCGACAGAGTGAGACTCCAACTCATAAAAAGAAAACTCTCACCCTTGCCAGCCATGCTGGTGGGGGGCCATTTTCAGTACGTGTGGTTCTAGTAGTCCTGGGGGAGCTGCTGTCCACGGGTCTTGGACTGTCCCCTACCTGGACTTTGCAGACCATTGGGATTTTGTACCTACTTAGTGCTCTCCAGGGACTCTTGCCTGTAGATGTTACTGTACTATTGCATGTGATCAGGTCATGTACTAAGTACATGGTGGTCATCGTTTTCTTCCTGAATAGAAGACAGGATGCAAAGCTGTAAATACAAAATTAAAATCATAAAGGCTTTTGAAGTTGAACCTTGTTTTTCTTGATGCATATATAGTCTAGTTCTCATATGGTTCAAGGGAGGGGCGAGCAGGAGCTGAGCTCCACAGGTGAGAGCAGCCCCTCCTGTCCTGAGGTCAGTGCGTGTGTGCCTCCCCATGCCACCCCCTGGGAGCACACAGCGGGCGAAGGGCACCTGACCAGATGAGAGGACAAGAGTTGCACCTCTTTAGCTGATGTTTTCTTTCTCTGCAGTGAGGAGGTCTGCAAGCGAGGCTTCACGGTGATTGTGGACATGCGTGGGTCCAAGTGGGACTCCATCAAGCCCCTGCTGAAGATCCTGCAGGAGTCCTTCCCCTGCTGCATCCACGTGGCACTGATAATCAAGCCAGACAACTTCTGGCAGAAACAGAGGACTAATTTTGGCAGTTCTAAATTTGAATTTGAGGTAACTTCCCCTCTGTGGCCAGACCCACTAAACCCGTTGGCATGGCTTATTCTAAGCTGTTTAGGCTGATGTTAGATTTTAGAAACCACATATTAAACAGGAACTGCGTATCTTACATACACATGATATATAAAATTAGTTACTGCGTAAAACAGCAAGTTGTGCTCATTATCCTTGTGGAACATTTTACCTAAGCGGGGGGAGTTCAGGCTTCAGTGCTCTTGAATTTGGGTGAGGGGGCTGCTGAGGTGTGAGGCACGTACCTTAGAAGAGAAGCCTGGCTCTTGTTTTTCACTTGGCAAAACAGCTTTACCTTAAAATTCAGCACAAGTGGCTTTGCTGATGAGGGAATGTTAGGGAGAAGTGCCCAACTTCGGAGATCCTAAGGAGGAATACAGAGGAGTCTGAGTTTCATCCTGTCACAGATTATGGAGAGATGGTGTATACTTTGTATAGTAGGTCTCACTTATGAAGATAGAGATATTCCATTAAAATCTGTGCAGAGTTATAAATTCAGTCAGGCACACAAGATTGCTCCCTTTCAGACAGTGGTAAAAAACAAACCTTGGCTGCTCACTGATTTTCCTTTCCACGGTAACCTCCTCTCCTTAAGCTACCAAGGTTCTGACAAGGCTTTTGATGCAGTTAGTTTAATGTGATGATTATGGGAAGAAAGTATTCATGCCAGCTTGAATCTTGATTCATGCTCCATTCCATAGTAACATTTTAATATTTTCTAATAATAAATTAAAATAAACTTTGGTTGAATAGATTGCTTCTTCTGGCATCTCTGCTCAAATGTTAGGTTTCAGTGACTGTATTCATGTGTTTTAAGATAAACAGCCATAATGCTATTAAACAAACCAGACAGTAAACTTAATCTTTAGGTTATATGCTTTACTCTTCAAAGTGTTTTCACGTGTTTGTCACTTGTATTTTTACATCTCTTTCCATGGTACTGAGCTTTGTATTTGAAATCTGAATTTAGTTTTACTTTAAGCCACATTCAGGAGGTTTAGATAAAAGATGAAACCCATAAACCTTTATCTTCATGCACAATAAGAAGTCACTTTGGCGGACAATTTATTGGGTCTTAGTTGTTTTCTTGATGCAGAATTAAAGTGTGTTGCATTAATTATACATGTTTTAAGTAAAAAAATGGTTTGGCAATATAATTCCTGCAGGTTTTTTGCCAGTTTAATTTTGATCTCCCCCTTAATGGTCCCTATATCAGTTTTTCTATTGAACTCGTCTGCATGATTACCATCCGCTCTCTGCCAGCGATGGCCTCCATGCAGGTTGTTATAAGTCCAGTACATGAGACAGGGGTAGGCCTAGAGGAACACTATAGGCAAAAGTGCTGGTTCAGGAGGAGCCCTCTTTCTAGCTCTGCTGCCTTTTACTGTTTGCTTATGCCAACCAGTGAGCCAAAATAGCACTCCACTGTTTATCATTTGATTTTAGACCGCATCTCTTTTACTTTTCCCTTTGTCTTTGCATTTAATCACCCTCTCCCATGTTTTTCTTGGGGCACATACTAATATTAATATGCTTGCATTAAGCCGGGCTCGGTGGCTCAGCCTGTAATCCCGCGCCTTTGGGAGGCTGAGGTGAGTAGATTGCCTGAGCCCGCGGGTTCGAGACCCACCTGGGCAGCGAGACCTCATCTCTACAATAAATAAAAAAATCAGCTGGGCTTGGTAGTGCATGCCTGTAATTCCGGCTACTCGGAAGGCTGAGGCGGAAGGATCGCCGGAGCCCAGCAGGCGAGGCTGCGGTGGCCGGGAGCGGCCACTGCACTCCAGTCTGGGCGACAGAGTGAGACTCCAACTCAAAAAAAAAAAAATGCTTGCATTATGATAGGATGGAATTAAGAGTTCTTGCTTGGACTGTAGTTAGCTGAAACTTTGTCACTGTTAATCTGGAGTGTGGTATAGAATATGTACAACACTCAGACTGTTCAGAATTGCAACAGATTATTACAGTGAATGAAACATTCCCTCCGTCTTTAGCTCTGTGAAATGAGCGTCTTCCAGCTTTCTTGCTAATCCTTGAATATTTCATAAATTTTAAAAAAAGTCACTCATATTGTATCACCCATTACTTGTTGGGTAGTGGGATAGGCAAGACGAAGGATGGTGGTCTGTTGTAGCCCTCACCATTTAATAGACAACCCACGTGTAAGTGTTCTTGGAGGACATGGCCTTTAAAATGGCTTGGGCTCCCAGGAGCATGATGCTCATGTGGCAGTAGATGGTAGAGAGCCTCCATGGAGTTTTATTGGGAATGAGGTACTAGAATGAAGTGAATGAGAAAGAATGGGTAGAAGAATGCATCCAAGAAAGCGAAGTTTCTGAATTGTCTGCTCTGTACTGCAATAGAACATATTTCCCAGTTTAATGTTCCTATGATAGTGGTTTAATCTCCACATTCCTGGAAAGAAATCTTTCATTAGCTCTCAGGAAATATATGATTTTACATTTTTAGGTATTCCAACTAACATATATGTGTTGCTCTAATGGATTTATCTTTCATTGTACTAATAATGCTTCTGTCATCCATTTTATTTTTATGGGGCCAGAACCAGGTATGTTAATGTTGTCTGTAAGTAGATTACTTTAAAAATCTGTGACTAAGCGTTGTAAATAACATTATGTTAAGACTGCATAAAATTGGTCCCTCTTCTCATACGTGATTTTTTTTCCCTTAAGACAAATATGGTCTCTTTAGAAGGCCTTACCAAAGTAGTTGATCCTTCTCAGCTCACTCCCGAGTTTGATGGCTGCCTAGAATACAACCACGAAGAATGGATTGAAATCAGAGTTGCTTTTGAAGACTACATCAGCAATGCAACCCACATGCTCTCCCGGCTGGAGGAACTTCAGGACATCCTTGCTAAGAAGGAACTGCCTCAGGATTTAGAGGGGGCTCGGAATATGATCGAGGAACATTCCCAACTAAAAAAGAAGGTGATTAAGGCCCCCATTGAGGACCTGGATTTAGAGGGACAGAAGCTGCTTCAGAGGATTCAGAGCAGTGACAGCTTTCCCAAAAAGAACTCGGGGTCAGGCAATGCAGACCTGCAGAACCTCTTGCCTAAGGTGTCCACCATGCTAGACAGGCTGCACTCGACGCGGCAGCATCTGCACCAAATGTGGCATGTGAGGAAGCTGAAGCTGGACCAGTGCTTTCAGCTGAGGCTGTTTGAACAGGATGCTGAGAAGGTAAAGAGTTGGGAGACTGATGCCTTGGTGGGCCATGGGGGAAGCCAGTGGGGTCGGTGACAGGGGAGAGGGAAAGTGGAGCTTGGGAGCCTACGCCTCCTGAAGTGCTCCAAATCAGTGAGAGTCGGTTCAGAGACAGCACTTAAGTCTGTTGTCTAGTTTTACCCATGCAATATAGTACTATTTTAGAACTTTTGAGTTGAAATTATGGGTGGTTTGCTGTAAAGTGTCTGCCTGTAAGAAAGACAGGATTGTTATTTTCAGTTAAAAGAGTAAAAACTTCATAGGATTATGTTACTGAAAGCAATAATTATGTAAGTACTTTGCTGTACCTGCTCTTCCACTCATACAAAGCCAGTGACAGAACACCATTCCGATCTATGGAGTATGTTTTAAGAGTAAAGGTGAGCAATGTGTTAAAAGTAACAGTTTCTGAATCATGCAGGCAATAATCACCTGTGGTCTCATGTTTTATTCTTGTGCACCAGACAAACCAACTGGTCATAGTGACTTTTTGTTAATTACTGGCTAATTAAGTCTTAGCAATGTGAAAACAGGATGCTTATTTGTAGGTATATGTTGCAAGCCATGAATGTGGGTGAACTAATTATTTTTTATTTGAGCTTGTTGCATTTCGTTTTACATAGACAGGAGGATAGTTTGTAAAAGTGAAAAAACACATTAGAACTCTTTGAATAGGACCTTTCAAAAGGTGATAATCTAGTATTTTTATTTGGTAAATGTTTAACATAGTTGTCAGCGTACTTTTGTTTTAAGTAGTGCCTTGTCAAGGTTACTAGAAGATCTTCCTTCCAGTTGCTAGAAAAATAGGTCTCTGTCTCTGGGATTCTGGTTCAAGTCACCGTAGCAATAGTCATTTCTGTTGTTCTAAATGTTTTCCTTGTGGGTATCTTAATTGACATTTTTGTCCAAGTACTATGTTGAACCTCAAGATAATTTTTTCCCCAAGTCCTTTTTATTTTTATGGTAAATTTTACTGTTTACATTTGCACAGATTTCTATATACTTCTTGTATTAAAGAGTGTAATCTTTTAGTCATTGGTATTGCTGTCAGTAACCTGAGGACATAGCAAAACCCATCCAGAGACCTGTAAGTCCCTAATTTCACCTAATGGGTCTTTAATTGAAGTGCAGTGTGGCAAATTAAGCAGTTCAGCATGGCAGGGAGGCTGGCCTGAGAATCAGAAGATCAGAGTTTTTAATTAGCCTGGGGTATTAGAATACATCTCTTTACTTATCTGCTTCTTAATTCCCCTTCTGTAAGAGGAACATGTCAGATAAGATTTTCTGGTAAATTTTGCAAGTTCAGAACTGCTGACTTGTTCTTTGAAGGAAAGACTTTCCCGTGTCCAAATGCCTGAGTTGTCAGAGGTAGGAAGTCGCCCTTTCGTGTATGGCCACATCCCTGGACCTACATCAGCCATTTCTCTTTCTGGAGTGATTCCAGGCTATCTTTTTCCTTCCGGTAGATGTTTGACTGGATCACACACAACAAGGGCCTGTTTCTAAACAGCTACACGGAGATTGGGACCAGCCACCCTCATGCAATGGAGCTTCAGACACAGCACAATCACTTTGCTATGAACTGCATGGTAAGATGTGGTCAGAGCAGATGGACCCTTGTGTGTGAATGTGATTTAGCAAATGGGAGGTACTTAGCAAGTCACATCCTGGCAAACTCAAAGGAGGCAATGTGGGACCTTCAGCATGACTGTTTTGGTTGTAGCAGCTACCTTCACGTGTAGGGAGTTCTCCAGAGTGCCTAAGTATCCTGTTTTAAGTTTTAAACAAATAAAAACCAAAGTAGGCAAATAGACCAACCAGTGAAACTTGAACCTATTACTTGGCTAGTTCATCATGGATGCTTTTGTTGCTGGCTCCTGTGCTCTGCTGTTTAGGAGCCTGCCGGGCTTCAGCAAAGTTCTGAGGCACAGTGAGTCCCCTGAACGGACCGCTACCAATTTGCTGGCTGCTGTTCATGACAGAAAAGAAGACAGCCTGCTGCTTACCTCAAGGGCACACTACAGTTTTCCTAAAACATGAGATATCCTTCCAAGTTGAGCTAGAGGATGGGGATCTGACCCTCAGGCTTGCCTGCAATTTCATGGCTCTCTTTGAGATTGATGCATCTGCTACCCTTGTTGTGACTATTGCAGAATCCTATAGACCAGATAGGAGTTGCTGTAGGACTTTATCACAAAAAACAAAACCAAAAAACATTGAGTGTTGAGTAACACTTTTGTTACATTGTTAATAAATAAACCTGTGCCTTGTTCTATAGGATATGTGCTTACTTCTGTTAAGCTTCTAGAAACTTCCTCTTCAAGGACAAGAAGTTTGCTTCAGACTTCAAGCCAAGCTTGTGGGGATTAACTGCTCTTAAGCATTAAGTTATGGAGCATTAAGCAATATGACGACAGGGTCTTCATTTAATTAACTCAGGAAGATGCCATTAAAGTTTGGTCAGCTAAGTGCTAGCATCTATATAGTTTCAAAGATAAGATTTAGCAATGTAAACTTTTATAGTTTATATTGCTAAATGTAAACTATAAGAAAACCATAAAGTTTTGTATCTGTTCTAGAGTTTGAGGCAAGAGAATTTCTGGTTTAAATCATTAAACCTGGGGATAAGTAAAAATTTCTTTGTAAAAAATTATTATCAATTTTTCAGAAGCTTCTGAAACTTCAACTAGTAGCAAAAGGCACATTCCGTCTACTATACCATATATGTTAAGAACTAGAAAGACTAAAATATATTCTAGAAATGAGCAGAAATATATTTTCTTCCTTTTCCCCTTTCTCAGTATTGTTAGTAACAGATTTAGAGATCAAGAGAATAGGAAGCTTAGTGTGGAAGACAGGAAATGGCTTAAGGATGTGGAGGTTTAAATTCTGACTCCGCTGTTCACCATCTGACCTTGAGTAGGCAGTTTAACCTCTTTGAGCCTCAGTTTCCTAGTCTGTAAAGTGGGGACTCATAGTATTACATTATTTTATTTATTCTATAGACGGAAAACACTAAACGTAATGCTTGACATCTAGTAAGTGCTGGCCAAATGATCATTATTACCAATGATGGTAAGATTAAAAATACACTAAAGCAGTTAGGAAGCTTGAAAATATGGGTTATGTCTATTGTTTTTAGGTTTACATATGTTTTCTTATTTTCTACAATTTACTTCTGTTACTTTTCTAAGTTAATATTTTAGTTAAGATGAATATGGTGACTTTGTACCACACTGGTGATGCCTCCCTGGTAGCTTTCTGGATCTGTCCTGCCCCTTGGGCTAAACACCTCCACGGATCTTTAGTACCCATCTGTGACATATACTTATGCAGAGCAAGACCTTTCAACCTCCAGCCTCTTCTCCTGCTATCTGCAGTGTTTTGAACACTTTTAGACAAAATAGAAATACTAAATACTAGTAAGCAATAGTCTTTAAAGTAAGCATATTAGAGGAGACCAGTAATTATGCTCGTTCTACTATAATGAATATTAATAAAGCTATGAAGATATAAATCTAGGTATAGACACTTTTAATTTAGGGAATTGCATGTTGCCATACTTGAATACCAGTGACTTATTTAGGCTGTGGGCCACCATACTCCTTTATGTGTGCTTTAAATGATGGGGAGGTAGAAAAAGGATCATACAGAGACTGGTACAGTCTGTTTGGGATATAAAAGTAAGACAGAATGCAAGTATGGAAGAGTGTGAGCAGTGGTCCTCACAGCAGAGCCTTGTGAGTGGATAGCTCTTCTCCGGATCCCAGCAGAGGGCATCCTTTTGTGTTCTTCCTAGCAGATCTTTTGCATAGGTTTTTCCTCTGTAGGGATATCTGTATCTTGAAAGGTAAAATGAGCAAATCTAGTCACCTGTCACTTTTCTAGGAGGGGGGGAAAGAGAGAATGCACGTGAGAACAGGAGGCACTGCTTTTAACTTAAAGGCTGCCAGTTAGAGCATTAACGCCCGGGAGGTCTTCCCCGTGGAGCCTGGCATGACTGTCACAGCCTCTTCCTGCCACTTCAGAGGTGCCGTGTCTGTCATCTGATTCTAGGCTTCAGATGCAGCCCAGAAAAGCACCTCAGAGACTAGAGTCCTGTAGTTCTAATCTCAGACCAAGGCGATCCACCAAGTTGTGGTTTGTGTCAGAAATAGAGGAAAAGGATGAATAAAAGAAGCTACAGAAAAAGAATGGGCAAGTGAGTTCCTTAGGCCACTTATTTGGGTGGACTGCAGGCCAAGGGACAGAGAGGAGGCTGCGGCAGGGGTCTCCATGTGAGGCAGTGGGAGACTGACTCAGAGGGATTGTGTAGGAAGGGAAGAAGAAGGAAAACATTGAGGAATTTGGATAGTCAGGTAATAAGATTAGGGGCAAAATTAGGAGAAGCCCAAGATGGGTCTATGATTTTGGGGAACCCAGAGAGAGGAGTGATGTGGTGACAGTCACAAAAAGAATAAGTACATGAAGGAACAACTTGGGATGTGTTGACATGTGAAGTCCCCCACTCCCTCGATGCCATACTGAACCTTAAAGAAGATTGGAGGTGGAAAGGGAAACTCTATAGTAAGAACTTGCTTTGTAAAAAGAGTGAGTTTTTTTTTTTAATCCTTGTATCCTTAAGTTTTATTTAAAATTTGAACATAGCATTGTTGTGTTTCCAACTCAATTCATATTCCTGGGAAAAAGTGGATGTACTCACAGAATATTTTCTATTGGCATTAAAAGGTGACTTGGGCTTATGCAGAAAGGAGGGCTTGTTTTCACACAAATAGCCTTTGGTTGCTAAGTACATATTCTGGGTTCTAGTTAAAAACTGAAATGCCTGGTCTCTTCAGTTCTGCGTGACTGCTTGTCAGGCTTGCCATCTGGACCCTTTTGGTATTTGAAGCCAAGAAGTGAGTAAGACTTTATTTGTGTGCTCCCACTTGTATATTTGATTGCTTTGTGCTGAACAATTAGTTGATTTGTAATGTTGCAGTTTTAAAAACAGAAATGGAATAAGTTGATGGAAATCCAGAGAGCAAATATGTGTAATATCATATACCAGGTGATTGTCCTGTTGAAAATGTGATTATTCTTTGTAGCTGTGTTTTGGCAAGTGCTTTCTGGGTTTCTTAGAAGGAAGCTTCCCACCTGCTTCCCCTGAGGAGCCCTTTTGTCCTGCCCTCTGCAGAACGTGTATGTAAATATAAACCGCATCATGTCGGTGGCCAACCGCTTGGTGGAGTCTGGCCACTACGCCTCTCAGCAGATCCGGCAGATCGCGAGTCAGCTGGAGCAGGAGTGGAAGGCGTTCGCCGCAGCCCTGGATGAGCGCAGCACCTTGTTGGACATGTCTTCAATCTTCCACCAGAAGGCTGAAAAGGTCAGTGCCTCAAGCCCCCAGCCCACGAATGGTAACTGGAAGATGTCCTCCTCCTGGATCTCAGTATGTGTGCCGAACCCTGGGAGGACCGATGTGTAGCACAGACTGTGAGCTCTGAGTGTGAGCTCAGAGTCACTCAGCCCTGAGTTAAAATTCCAGGTCTCTTAGTCCTTGCTGTGAACCTTAGGCAAGTTATTTAGCCTTTCTGTTTTTTAGTTTTCTCACTAAGTAGCAATGAAAGTACCTGCTTGGGTGGATTGTTTTCTCGTGTAAATGTGATAGTTTATATTAGGGGCCTTACACAGTACCTGGTGTAGAGTAAGCACTAACAATTGGTAGCTCCTGGTTTTTCCCCCTTCTCTGCCTCCTCCCTGCCCTTTTTTCTTCCTCTTCCTCCTTATTGTTACCTTTTTATTATTCCAGTTAGGATACTTCAGCAGCAAATAACAGAATGCCCACCAGTGGTTTAAACACCAGAGGTTTGCTTTCCTCACAAAATGAGAAGCTGCAAGTATAGGCACTCTTGCTGCACAGCTATGTCAGGGCTGGCGTCTGCTTCTCTCGAGTTTGCTTGACCTCTTTCTCTCATGGCCATAAGATGTGTGCCAAGCTCCAAGCACTAGCTCCTCAGTGACAGTGTCCAGCCTAGGCAGGGAAGGTATGCAGAGGGGACAGTAGCTGTTTTCTTTTAAAAAAAAAAATGTGGAGTACAATTCAGGGCCAGGTATACAAACGGTCATTATGCAGGTACCCTTGTTGATGAGGTAGCCCCAGTAGCTGTTTTCACCTCTCACATTATTTCCAAACGGTCCCCCATCCCCTGCTGCAAGGGTTGGGGGAAAGACAGATCTAGTTTTTAGCCCCCCACAACCGTAGGGAGGCTCTGCATCTTTCTCAATTATTACATAATTTACATGACTTCTGACTTCACTTTGACTATGTTTGCAGATGTGCTGTTTCAAAATTTCTTGTTTAAGAGGTATAGGTCATGTATTCCCTTAACACTCCCCCAGGCCTTCACTCAGGCAAATTTGCTAAAACAACACACACTTGAAAAGTAGCAAAATGAGAGATGTGCCCGTGACTCAGACTTTATTAGTGGAAGGTGAGCAGCACATGACATTAATGCTTTTCAAGATGCAGAGAAAGGGCACAGGAATGTTCAGCCACTAGGAGGACATATGGGGGGGGTCCAAAAAAACCCAGGCTTATCTTTTTATTTTTTGGTGTTTTTTAGCGAGCAGGCCCCCTGTGGAATAGGCTTCCCCCGCTAGGTCAGTGTTCTAGGAACCTGTTGGCATCAGTGTACCAGCTAGCGTTCTGAGAGACTGCATTAGGCTTTAGTGAATTTTCTTTTGGAGAGTCTTTCAGCGCAATTGCCTACTTCATAATGAGTGATTTATGAGCGGACCTGCCCACACCAAGCTGAATATTCAGCAGTTTTAACAGTTTTTGACCAAAAACAGCAGGACCCCTGTGCCCCACCCTTCCTATTTACCTGATCTTGCCCTGAACTACTTTTTTTTGTTTCCTTGGATGAAAAAAGTCCTCAAAGGGAAACATTTTGCTGATGAAGGAGAGGTAAAACAAAAAATGGCAGAAGCGCTAAAAAGCATCAAAATTGACCATATCACAAACTGTTTTGAGCAGTGGAAAAGCATCTTGTTATGTGTATTGCGTCAGATGGAGAGTACTATGAAGATGACTAAAGTTTAAACGTGTAAGAATAAATATCCAATTTTTAATAAATAAATTTTGTATTTTTGAGTGTGATTCCCTCTTGTATTTGGGGAAGAGGCAAATGATTGATTAATTTTAAAAGAAAAATATTGATACAACTTTCTCAGGATTAATTTTGGTGGGGGGAACTGTATTCATAGGGATTTACACTGATGCTTTTAAGTAGGAACCAGTATCTCTTTAATCTAGAAATAGTCTCTGTTGAGTGAAGAAGTCATAAAGTTAAGATAGAGGCCCCAGCTTGCCTAGGATTTTGGCAGGGTGCCCAGTGTTGCCCAAGACACTCATTAGCAGTGATCTCAACTCTAGAAACCTTTAAAGTATAAAGGAAGAGAGGAAACTGAGAGGAATATAAAGATTTTTAAAAATCTTCATAGTATTATGTAAAAGCTGTGAGTGGGGACTTTCAGGTTTCAGTGGTAAGGATTTTCCTAATTTCTAATCTTATTGCACTGAACTAATTTTATAATAAAAGATAGACAAAAGTTCATTCACTAAAACAACTTTTTAAAGTAGGAGGAACTTCCTTCAGCATAAAACAGAACCGTCTTCGTGACTCTTTGGTCCCCGTCCGATCTTATCTTGTTCATAGTAGTAATATACTTGATCATTTGACATAAGATAATATGAATAAATTTGAAACAGGACGAGCTGCGGGGGTGGATGGCAGATAGACTGACACATAACACAGAGAGTCTCTTCTGTAAACATGATGGGATTCAGAATTGTAAATAAGCCCAGAAGATTAATTGCTTCTCTGACCTGCCTAAAAATAATTTAGAAGTGTGGGTGCCAGGAGCATTCCCCACAATATTTTATATATCAAAAATTTCAAACATGCAGCAAAGTTGAAAAAGCCCTGGGGTGTTTCCTTGTGAGTAAAATGAATGACTGTAGTTGAGGGATTTGAAAGAAACTAAACTAGATGAATACATAATTGAACAGAATTGCATGAGAGCCTGGGTAAATTGTAGCAGGACTTGAGGTCTCAGTGCATGTTGAGTGGACAGAGTAGCCTAGTGAAGAAGGCGCCCAGTGTGTTTTAGGAGCCTTGAGGAAGTGACGAGACCTATACCCAGACAACTGAAATGTAGAGCAGTTAGGATGTAGAGACGTTAGGATGCCTTCAGAAAGTTTCTTTACTTGCAAGTAAAAATGTGTTGTGTCTCTTTCCCCTCATTGAACAAAAGTAAGATCCTTGAGGTTCTGCTGCTTGGAGGAAGATCATCTCATCTACTAGAGCAGCTTCCTTTTCCCAGAAGAGCAGTTACAGCAGTAGTCAAGTGCATTCACTTCTTTTAAATGCTTTGCCTTCTAGTTATGCATAAGCTGTTTTCATAAACTCAGTCTGGAAAGGACCAGAAAATTAGTCGTCACAGGTTAGGTTTCCATCATAGCCACCTTTCTGAACCCTATCCAGAGTTTTCATGAGGAATTTAAATCTGATTAGGGAGACATAGGACTCAAATGTGTGACCCCATGGTTAACGGGCTTACTAATGGCAACAGCTTTCTCAGTAAGGATTACAGCTATTAGCTGGGTCACCCAGCCCTGTCCTGTGTCTCCGTGGGTGTTCTTGTGTTGGTATTTGCTTACAGTTTTACAAACACAATGCTTGAAGTTAAAACTAGATGAGAATGATGTTTCATAAATGCTATACTTTCAAAGATGTCCCTTCCATTCCTCTCATGCCCCCCTCGAGGGTGTAGGGATGGGGTCAGAAGATCAGTTTGCAAATAAGGAGACACACATGACTGCAGTATAGTGATTTTACCAGTATATGTTGTTCAGGAGTCCAGCCATTGCTTGGCCATGTGGTGTATCCACAGGACAGCCCCTTGACATTAAGAAGCTTCCACAGCAAATATGATTAGAATTACTTTTTATAAGACAAAGCAGTAAAGTGACTTGATTTTGTCATACCTTCAAATCTTCTTTTATGTGACCTTGAGCTGCATTGTCCAGTGTGATAGCCAGTCCTCACGTGCGGCTATTTAAACAACTTAAAGTTAGATAAAATTAAAATAAGATGATAAGATAATTTTATTAAATTAGAATTCATTTGCATGCTTACATTATCCATGTTGCACATGCTAAGAAGCAATGTGTGGCCAGTGGCTACAGTATTAACAAAGATATACACTTCCATCACTCCAGAATTCTCTGTTAGCATGAACAGAAGTTTACCTTCAGAGTGAACCATAATCTCATCACCTTAATTTATCTATGACTTCAAGGGACTCTATACTTTGAAAAGTACCAAAAATAAAGTAGCATCTAGTATTTGTACAGTTTTAACATTTATAGAGATCTTAACATGAAATCCCATTTCCTCCTTAAATTGGCCCAGTGGAGCAGATGGGGCTGGTCCTGAGAATCTATATGGGCAGTCTTTTGCCCATGTTCCCAAAGCTGGGACTTTCATTGGGATCTGTGGTTAATTCTGCCAGTTCCTGACATATTAACAAACTAGTTCACATGTACATTAATATTCTTATAAAATTTCACATTTTACAAAAAATTTTATAGTTCAGAGTTCTCATTCTTGGAAATTCCAGTCTGTTGTCTCCTAAATTCAGCCAAGTACCTGTGCTCAGGTGAGGCGCTGGGGATGAGGATCCCAGATTGGAGGCTCCTCATCTCAGCAGATGGAGAGTAGTGGAATAAATGCTTAGGAAGATCAATCTGCTAATTAATCATTAAAAGTCTCCTCTTAAAGCTGTCTCTATCAATCATGTTTCCCTCCTCTGCTTGCCTCTATTTTGCACACTGGGTGACCCAGACTTCTTTTATCTTTTATTCAGCAACACTTTTTAAAAATCGCAATTCTGCTCAGCATCAGAACCCCAGTTCTGAAGCAGGACCCTGATCTGAATCCCTGGAGCAGTGCTTATTCTCTTGCATGCTTCTGTCTTTACCCCTAGTTCATCAGATGCTACACATTCACATATTTTGATCTCCTGTGCTCTTAAATCATCAGATACTAAGCTGGCTGCTTGAATCTCATTAGACTACAGTAACCACCTTATGTCATTGTCATCTCCTAAGTGTCAGGCTCTGCTAGATATGGTCCCCCGATATGCAGTCCCAACGTGGGCTTTTTCAAGATGGTAGTGTGTGCATATGTGTAGTGAGGGTAAGTTGTGTGTGGGTATGTGTGTGTATGTGTATGAGAATAAGGTGTATGTATGTGTGTACATGTGTGTATGTATATGAGAGTAAGGTATACGTGGGTATGTGTGTACGTGTGTGTATGTGTGTGAGGGTAAGGTGTGTTTGTGTGTATGAGGGCAAGGTGTAGGTATGTGTGTAAGAGTAACCTGTATGTGTGTGTACGTGTGTGTGTGGGAAGGTAGCAGGAGTATAGTAGACTGTTGAAGTAAGTTCAGAAACAGATACCAGGCCCCCCATTTACGGTGCACATTATCATATTAGAAGGTTTGAAGAGACTATTCTGTAGGTGAATTTTGACAACAAACTTGACCTCAGGGTGTCTTTTCTTTGTGGAATACCTGTTAACACCCTGTTATGTGGATCTCTGAATGGGCATTGCTGTGTGGTGGTGTTGGGTTCAGACCCTCTGGGTATTCAGCCTTTCAGAAAGCAGTTGAGGCCTAGAGCTTGCCCTTTGAAGTCTAGGGTTGCCTTCTTAGAAATAAAGGACAGGAAAACAGTGCTTGTGCTAAACTCCTTGTAAAACCATGGCCAGCATCATTTCTATCATTGAGCTGTGTTAACCCCCCAAAAGGGCAGAATTCTTTGTCCACAAGATTTCCACGTGGCAAATTACCCTTTCCTATGTACTTAAAACCTGGCTACACTTTTTTTAATATATAAGTATAATCAGTGTCCTCTTGGGATATTTTAAGAAATTATAAGTTACTTCTAATTACAGGCATATATAAAACTTCCTGAATTTTTTTTTCTTTATTGGTTGCATCAAAAATTGGAGTTGAATATATTTTAATAATGATTTTGATGTGATATATTAGCCTAATACTTCTCATTAAATTGTGAGATATTATATAACAAATTAACACAATCTATTTTTACCTTGTTCTATCAGAAGCATTTTGATCTTAACAATATGTTGTAATTCTTCTTGATTTTGGGTTGTTTAGGAGCAATTAATTGTTGACTTGGATTTGATAACTTATTTTTATTTTTTATTTTTTTGAGTTGGAGTCTCACTCTGTCGCCCAGACTGGAGTGCCGTGGTCGCTCCCGGCCACTGCAGCCTCGACCTGCTGGGCTCCAGCGATCCTTTCGCCTCAGTCTTCCGAGTAGCCGGAATTACAGGCGCGTGCTACCACACCCGGCTAATTTTTTGATTTATTGTAGAGATGAGGTCTCGCCTGCCCAGGCGGGTCTCGAACCTGCGGGCTCAGGCAATCCACTCATCTCAGCCTCCCAAAGGCATGGGATTACAGGCTGAGCCACCGAGCCTGGCTTGATAACTTATTAATGATGATGGTTAACCCCAATCAATTTGTATTTTAATACAATAATTTTAAGACAATAATTTAATAATTGGTATTAAATGCAATAGTATGAGATGATAGAATGAAATAGAGCTCCAAAATGCTTAGACTCCCCTAACCCGACCTAATTGACATTTATAGAACACTCTACCCAAGAAGTACTTAGAAACCACCATCAGGTGAAACTTAATGCCATGTGAATTGGTTTCAAACCCTAAGGTTTGCATACAGATTTTTTTGAGTGAACTACTACATTAATAATCAGGAATTTTCTTAACAATTATTATTTGGGCGACTTGTCTATTTTAAGATCTTAAAATACCATAAATAATTGAGAGGCAATTCTTACTATATTTTAAGAGAATTACAGCACATTTCCTCTCTGGACAATCAGTTATTGCTTTTTTTTTTTTTGAGTTGGAGTCTCACTCTGTTGGCCAGACTGAAGTGCAGTGGCTGCTCCCGGCCACCTCAGCCTCGACCTGCTGGGCTCCAGCAATCCTTCCGCCTCAGCCTTCCAAGTAGCTGGAATTACAGGCATGCGCTACCACGCTCGGCTGATTTTTTTGATTTATTGTAGAGATGAGGTCTTGCTGCCCAGGCGGGTCTCGAACCCATGGGCTCAGGCAGTCCACTCACCTCAGCCTCCCAAAGGCGTGGGATTACAGACTGAGCCACTGAGCCCGGCTAGTTATTGCATTTTAGATAGCCTTCCTCTGCATTCCCTGCTAAATATAAAGACGGATGAGAAACTGCTGTTAAAAAGGTTAAGCCAGGGAAATGTGTTGGTATCTATTAGATTTAATTGAATTAGCGTTTTTAATTGGGCCCTCTGCACTTACCTTTGGCACTTAACTGTAATGGATTCTGATAAGCTCTCCCTAGGAAATTTGTCAGTGATTTATCAGCTATTGATGAATCCTGGAGATGTGGTTGCAGTGAAGGAGATTGAGGTGAGATTGGATTGGGAGGACTGTTAATGCGGCATGGACTTTTCTCGTTTACATGCAAATTGGGAAAGACCTGAACGATACTGCTGCCTCTCTGCCTCCTGAGGATTTCTGAGATTCACTGCCCAGAAGTTTAGGCTCCCTTTTAATTCTGGTGTTAATTTCCTTTTGAAAGGGTAGGGTAGCATGATGGGCTGGCCGCTCTTCCTAATGTTAGGCGATGATTTTAGATACCTGAGACTTTTTCATTAGTCTCTTAATGTAAGAGCAAGGAAGGAAGGCTGAAAAACAGCTCCAGGGAGAAGTCACATACATCCTGTAACCACGGTTGAGGCCTAGAGTCGTCTCAGTGTTCTTTTTGCTGGGAGTGCAGGGCAGTTAGGGATGCAGTTAGGGAAGGCTGGCTTCATGTTCTAGGATACCGCTCTCCGCTGTATCTGTGCCAGACCACATGGTAGATGCCTGATGACACAACTTTAGATGGGTTGACGAGTGCCACCAGGTTGCCTGTGTCTTGCTCATCTGGCTCTTTGGGAACAGCATGCCTTTGTCATGATGGTATATTGCTAGAAGTGAGAGACGGGGCATGGGAGGAATTCTGTGTGCTTTGATTTGAAGGTGGATTGGGAGAATCAACTGGAATGCCCAAAATAGACCATGCAGGACTGCGCTGCTCCAGTGTGCTGCCCAGAGCTGGGTCGGAGCACCACTGAGGCATTCATCTGAAATGCAGGTTTCTGAGCCCCAACCCAGTCCTGCCAGAACCCACTCTGGGGTGGAGTTCAGGAGTCAGGTTTTAGAACTCACATTCATGCCATTTGAGCTGGAGATTCAACCTTGTTACAGTCTTAGAATCTCCGCCAACTACCCTAATTTTCAAAACCGTGTTCAAAAATACTTCATAAATAAATATTTCATAAAAAATAAATTGTCATTGATTGAAATTCTCTCTCTGTCTCTCTCTTTTTAACCTTCCAAGTATATGAGCAATGTGGATTCGTGGTGTAAAGCCTGCGGTGAAGTGGATCTTCCTTCAGAGCTGCAGGATCTAGAAGATGCCATTCACCACCACCAGGGAATATATGAACATATCACGCTTGCTTATTCTGAGGTGAGGGCCAATTTTACTTAAATTGCTAGGCAGTTATCATAGCACCAGAAGCTAGAAAAATCGAAGTTTTGGCTAGCCTGAAAAAGCAGATAGATTTTGAAGTTAACCACAGCTTAATTGTTGAACATTTAAACTCCGTGTGTGTGTGTGTGTGTGAGAGAGAGAGAGAGAGAGAGAAACAGGATGGTGCTTTTCAGGTAAATTTCCTTTAGAGTGTTTATATTTTTATCTGCTAAAATAAGTCTAGTCTTTTTAAGAAATGCATTTTGTGAGCTATCCAGTCTAGTCTAACTCAGTTTAATCTTCCTGAATGAAACCTTTTAGAAGGATGATCTGTCTGGATTGCAAGTCACATGCAATTTTTTGTAAGCATGTAAAACTACTTACTTTACACAGACATGGTAGAAATCTGAGTGTAGCGTTTTCTTTATTAATTTAGAGTACATTACGTTATTTGTTGAATGCACCCCTTTTATTTTCTGCTATCTTCTGTGCCAGACTTCATTGTAAGAACTTTATGTTATGACTTATTTAACGCTTACAACTCCGAGGCACATTCTGATGTTGTCCTTACTTTTACAAATGAAGAAACAGATATACAGAGATGAAGTGACTTGTGCTGGGTTGGCAACTGGTGGAGAGAGGTATGAGCCCAGACATGTTGGCTCTGTGTCCTCAGTCACCACTCTCTGCTGTATCAGTGCCAGACCACATGGTAGACACATGATGACACAACTTTAGATGGGTTGATGAGTGCCACCACCTTGCTTGTGTCTTGCTTATCTGGTCCCTTGGGAACAGCCTGCCTTTATGATGATGGCATTGCTGGAGGTGAGGGACTGGGCCTGGGAGGAATTTGGTGTGCTTACTTTTTTGCAAGATTTTCTCCCTGAGTAGGAAGCCTCTCTATCTACAGTGTTCTGTGTTAATGCCAAAGGTTATTGTGAAGCTTCTGTAACAAAGTGTTTCGAAACACCTAGAGAGTGCTGGACACAGAGTAGATGTTTAATAAATGCCTGTTGTATTTAAATCTGAATCTTAACCTGAGTCATAATCATGCTTGTCAAAGTTGTAGGGAATTAACTGGTCACTTTCATTGTGTTCTGACAGTTCCTGTTGTGCTTCATTGCCCAGCTGTCACTCTCACGTCCTTGGGCCTGGGTCTCTTGACCCTTAGTGTCCATGGGCGAGTGAAATGGACCTGTGATTTGCTATTGCAACCATATTCCTCATAACCACATTTCAGTCTTTGATGGTGGTCCTACAAGGTTATAATACTGTATTATTATTATTATTATCATTATTATTATTTATTTATTTATTTTCGAGTCGTAGTCTCACTCTGCTACCCAGGCTGGAGTGCAGTGGCACACTCATGGCCACTGCAGCCTCAACTTGCCAGTCTCAGGCAATCCTTCTGCCTCAACCTTCCAAGTAGCTGGAACTACAGGCACATGCTACCACACCCGGCTAATTTTTTTTATTTATTGTAGAGATGAGGTCTCACCTAGTTTCCTAGGCTGTCTCAAACCCCTGGACTCAGGCAGTCCTCTCACTCTGCTTCTCAAAGTGCTGGGATTACAGGCATTAGCCTCCATGCCCAACTGCATTCTTACTATATCTTTTTTATGTTTGGACATGTTTAGGTATACAAATACCATTGTGTCACAATTGCCTGCAGTATTCGGGGATGGTAACTTGCTGTACAGACTTGTAGCCTAAGAGCAATAGGCTATATCCTCTAGACTGGGTGTATAGTAGGCTGTACCATCTAGGCTTATGTAAGTTTACTATCTCATAGTCACACAACGGAATCAATCAGAATGTATCCCTGTCATTAAGTGATGCATAACAGCAGGGCTTGGTGGCTCAGCCTGTAATCCCACGCCTTTGGGCAGCTGAGGTGAGTGGATTGCCTGAGCCCGCGGGTTCGAGACCCGCCTGGGCAGCGAGACCTCATCTCTACAATAAATCAAAAAATCAGCTGGGTGTGGTAGCGCATGCCTGTAATTCCAGCTACTTGGAAGGCTGAGGCGGAAGGATTGCTGGAGCCCAGCAGGTCGAGGCTGCGGTGGCCGGGAGCGGCCACTGCACTCCAGTCTGGGCAACAGAGTGAGACTCCAACTCAAAAAAAAAAAAAAGTGATGCATAACTATATATTTGCTTTAGAATGTGGGCAGTCCTCCTTCCTGTGACAGTCACCTTTTTCCTTAACAAGATCCCTTCCTGCTTTTTTTAAAGCACCATTTCATGTTGCCCATGGAATTGAAAATAGTCGACTCTGGGTGTATGTTCCTTAATTTTGCATGAATGTTTCATAACATAATGTTTCTTAATTTGGTTATCTAGTTTATTAGAAACTGTAAAATGATAGCCTTTTCTGTAGTAAAACTGAAAATTGAACAGATTTGTAATATTTTAATTACGTTGATTCACAAGGATTATGTGAGTTCTAAAAATCTTTGTGTTCTTTTCCCTAGTGTACCATCCCTATGCACTATTTTGTCCCAGAACATAAAGACTGACCCTGTTACATGTAATGAGGTCTTCACTCATCTGCTTATGTGAATCCTTTTCTTGGAGCTGCTCTTTGTTTGCAGTGGTGGGCTTGCAACCAGCCACCTACATGCCCTTGCTAGATCAAGATGGGATTGAATAGTCTTCATTCACAAGATGATTGGCAAGTGCTGGGATACAGTCTTGGCCTGTGCTCGACTTGCATCAGAATCACCTTGATCTGACTGGTGTCATCTTCAAGCCTAGCCAGCCAGTTCAGTCTGCTTATTCCCTTGGCACTTTAAGCACAGAGTCTTTCTAGTTGTTACTAGTATATTCAATAAAAACGGGGCATCTTGACACGGGAACTTATGTTTACCTATGGTGTAGTTTCTTTCCATTTACATTGGTACCAATAATTCAAAATAATTTGATGGGAGGTAAACAGCCTCCCAGGCTGAGGTCTTAAACAGCAGTTTTAACCTAAGAACGTGATTGCTTGAAACTGAGCTAGAACTCACGGAGATAGTCATTTGAACAGGATGAACTGAAAAGATTTTCAGTAGAACAGAATTAATTCTTTTGCTCTTTAAATTATTTAGATTTGGGAATTGTTTCAGGCCTACAGAGAAGGGTAGAACAGCACAGAGAACTCCCACATTGCCTGGACCCAGATTTCTCAGCTTTTAGCATTTTACCACATTTGCTCCTCCATTAGGATATCACTGTTGATGTAACATGACCATCCTATCCACAGACCCCATTCCTATTTCCTCAGGTGTTTCAACGAGGTCTCTTTCTGTGTTTGGAATACTCTCCAGCAACATGTACTGCATTTAGTTGACATGTCTCATTAGTCTTCTTCAAAATGGAATATTCCCTAGTCTTCCTCTGCCTTTATGTCTGATATTCCAAAAAAATACAGGACTTTCATTCTGTAGGTGAGCCTCCACCACCTAGACCTCCCAGTGCCCCTCGTGGACTGACTTGGGCCATGCCTTCTTGGCAGGTACACGTTCTTCTCTGGGTGTCCCAGCAGGGGGCACGGGATGCTGACCCCAGCCACCACTGATCAGAGGCATCAGCAAGATTTCCCCAGTGTATAATCACTATTGAAAAATGCTGTCTCTATCTGTGCCTATTAGAAACATGTGTTCAAAGAGGTATTTTCATTTCTAATCCAATACCTCAGGGTTCTTTAGAGCCTTTCCCTTTCTCAGTATATTAATCTATTCTCAGACAGCATAAAACATGGCTGCCACTGTCTCTAACACATTAACGTACTTGTTTAGTTGGTGCATCTGTGCCATCTCCCAGCTCTTCTGTCTGTGCTTTCCATCCCACCCCCACCACCA